ATCTTTTAGATGTTTAACATAGTAAGTTAGAACTTTGCTAAGGCTATTCTTTGATTCGGGCACCTAAACATATTTTGTTTCAAAATAACTTAGCCTTATCTCAGTAATTGTTCAGCTTATTCTTACTCTGCTTGTCCTTGGCTCTATCTTGTAAAATAATTATGCTTTTACAAAAGTGTTGTTAGAGTAAGAGCAATATAACATCTTGAATGGAAGTGGTTCCTTTCAACTATTAATCTTGGGGAGAGAACAAAAAAACTTCTCTAAGATAACATATATTAGAAGTTAAAGCAAAAGTTTATTATGGCAATATGAATTTATAATTCTATAAAATATTTTTATCTTTGAACTAATTTAACACCTACTTTCACATTTTGAGATGACTTGATTTCAGTGGGACACTGTAAAGTCAAGTACCTAGTTTGCTTTTAGTCAATATCTTTTTGTTTTAACTTCTTATTTTGAAAAAATTTTAGATGTATAGAAAAGTTGCAAAAACAGTACAGTGTAGATTTCACATATATCATGGATACCCTTCACTCAATGTTAACAACTCATATTCTTATAGTGCCAGTAGATCCAAGGAGGATATCTGTCCACATAGCCATTTTCCTTACTTGGGCAAGATAAAATTGACATGTCATAAGGTAGGTACTTCCCTTTATAAAGAATTGCCCATCTTTTTTAAAAAAAAAAAACCCCACACATTTTGTTAATCCATTTATGAACTAATAGACATTTGATTTATTTCCATTTTTTAGCTATTAGGAATAATGCCTCTATGAACATTCATGTATGAATTTTTGTGGTAACATATGTTTTCATATGTGTATTTTTTAAATTTAAATTTCCTGTCAGTATTTAAAATTAAAAATTAGAAAAGTTGGTAACTATGAACCATCATTTCTACATGTCAACCATGGGCTGTACCTGAGTAATGGTCAACCCTCTTTGGTGGGACTCACACTCTCCTGTTTAGTATGATCCTCTCTTGTGTACCCTAAAATTGGCCTCAGTCCTCAGTTGCTTGACCTGGTACTTACATTTTGTTGTTCTCATAGTATAGTTAAAGAGGAGAACATTTATTATATTCATGTCTTGATCAAATATTAAAAAAACAAATGTAGACAAAGAAAACTGGGAGGAGAGGCTTTTTTTCCCCCCCAGAAGTGAAGAATATTCCTACAGTTAAAGAATTTCCAGTCTTTATACCAGGTTTTCTGAAGGAGACCTATGATACATTAGTAATTTGCTTTCCATGTACTGTTTAAAGTCCATGTCCAAAGTATGCTGTGAAATGTGTGCACATTGTTTCCTTTATTCCTTGTTCCAGATTTCTTTTATATAAAAGCTTTCAGTGCTCTTTATGTTTCATAACCACTGTTTCTTTAGGTTCACATGGACATCCTTCTATCCCCCCTGAATCTTAGTGATTTCACTTATTAATGATAACAAAGATTTTTGAGTCTACACATTGCCAGGCATTATGCATGTAATGAAACAATTACATGCCTCTAGTTCTAAATAAACGTCATTTCAGAAGTAGTGACTAAACAGTGTCAGACATTTGTGGAGTCTTTGGTGACTCATGTTATCTGCTTAACATGATATTATGTTAATGAATTGAGTTTTAATGTAGAGTGGTTTAGATGTTTGAATACACCACAAAACTCTACCTGGTAAAATTAATAACTTATTTTTTATCTCTTTTGAAAGTTTCTCATTTAGATAAATGCAATAATTTAAAAACAACTACTACCAGATAATTTTTGCCCATTCAGAAAATTTGGGAAATTGGTCATTTAGGATAATAAAGAATGCATTCCCATTTTAGTTTTTTATATATATATATATATATTTTATTGATTTTTTTACAGAGAGGAAGGGAGAGGGATAGAGAGTTAGAAACATCGATGAGAGAGAAACATCAATCAGCTGCCTCCTGCACACCCCCTCCTGGGGATGTGCCCGCAACCAAGGTACATGCCCTTCAGTCCACAGGCCGACGCTCTATCCATTGAGCCAAACCAGTCAGGGCCCATTTTAGTTTATTATTAGTATTAATTTACTTTTGCCTGCCATCTTTATTAAATATATACTTTTCTGCTTTGGAATTATGTTAAAGATGACTTACCCTTTTCCTGATAATAGTCATTATGCAGATCAGTTATTATGCTGTTGTACTACTTTGCATTTTGAATTTTTAGTATAGTGAATCTAGTGTGTGATATGCAAACTAAGATAATTTGGAGACTACATCAAGAAATTTGAAGCTAATGTAAATATAAAGCCCTTGATAGAAGGAACCCTTCCTGAAAAAAGGATGTATTTCTGATTAGAGTAGGATCTTTTGATTCTTTCTTTTTTTAAATATATTTTTATTGATTTTTTTTTTTTTTTTTAGAAATAGAGGGAAGGAGAGGAAGAGAGATAGAAACATCGATGAGAGAGAAAGATCAACATCAATCGGCTGCCTCCTGCACACCCCCTGTTGAGGATCGAGCCCACAACCTGGCAAGTGTCCCGACCGGATATCAGCCCAGCGACTTTCTGGTGCTTAGGTCAAAGCTCAACCACTGAGCCACACCAGCCAGGCAGGATCTTTTGGTTCTTACCAAGAGACTAAGGCAGCTCATAAAACTGATAATTGTAACTAAAAAAAGCAATCCAACTGGTATCATATTAGTTCTGATTCAGTCAAAAGATGACTGCATGAAAATGGAGAATCAAAACGCTAAGGTGTAGCCTGGCCAGTGTGGCTCAGTGGTTGAGCATTGATCCATGAACCAAGAAGTCACTGGTTCAATTCCTGTCAGAGCATATGCCTGGGTTACGTGCTCGATACCCAATAGGGGATGTACAGGAGGCACCCAGTCAATATTTCTGTCTCATTGATGTTTCTACCTCTCTGTCCTTCCTTCCTCTCTCTCTCATCAATAGAAACGTGTGTTTTTTAAAGCTAAGATGCAGTACTAAGGCATCTAGATATCCATGTTCTTTGAGCACCACCCCACCAGAACTCTAAAATGTTTATTCTTGCTCATATTTTTCTCTCTCCTCTTTTGCTGTCAGCTGTTACTTCTTGCTGCCAACAAACTGTCTCAAGATATTACTTTTTCTTCCTCTGTCTAATTAATTTTCCACTTCTAATCTTTTTTTATGCTTAGTTGATCTTTTTGGAATTATGTCTAGAGTAAGAATAAATTGGCTCAGTGAAAGGCATTTTTAAGTATAAGGTACCTGAGATTTTAACACATGTCGCTGGTAACATCTGGTCTTTCTGTTTGTTCGGATTTTTATTTTTCTAAGTTATTTGATAAGTAGCCAAGATTCCCAAGTATTTGACTTCTGGGGAGGCAAGAAAAAAAATCTCACTATATTTTTATTTATGAATTGTATATTTTATGTATATAACACTAAATACATGACAAGTATCTAGTATGATCATCAGGTTAAAATTATGACTTACCTTTTACTAAAGCTAATTGATGGTTAAATAGGACTTTACAGTACAAACTTACTGGCTTTGTATACATATCTTTAATAAGAGGAAAAAAGAAACTCAGAAATTGACCAATTGATCTTAGACATTAAAGTATGAACTGTGAAATATACCCTTTGAAACAATGGAAAGCAAGGACAGGCATGATTCTGCATCAAGAAGACTATGAATTTAAAGTCAAATTTTCTTGATTAATAAGTTGTCTAGAGGCCAGATATAATGTCAGAGTCTGAGTCTTTCCAGAAACATTGTTTATTCTCTGTAAGATTTTGCTTTTTATAACTACTATGTCGTCTTGGTCTCTTGTGTGTAGTTAGTTATACATGTCAAAATGTCCCACATCTTTTGTTCTGCTGTTACTCAACTACTTTATATTAGATGTGCTTCAATTCTTTGAAATTATTTTTCAGAATTTTGTTCTGAAATAACTATACAGTGATTTCATTTTATAAAAACTTAAGTTTGATTTCATTCATGAAAAAGAATATGAAGTGTACTTTAAATTTTGTGGTTCTGTTAAATCTGAAGAGTATTTCAGGCTAGTAATAGCCTTCTGTGAATATAACAGTATTTTGTGTACAAGAGATTTGCTTCCAAAATGCGGTATTTTAAGGTTATAATATTCTTGGAAAGTGGGAGAAACTGTTCACATCAAAGAAGGCATTTTTATTACAGTGGATTACATAAGACTTTGGCCAGCCTCCTTAGCTTCATCTGTTTAAGGGTTCATTTTTGCTTGTTTGGCACAAGTCCCAGTAGAGGCCTTCAGAATTGTGGTTAGCAACATGAATGAATCACAAACTTTGGACCAGCTCTTCAGTTAGTAGAGCTGGCTTCCTGCCAAAAAGACAGTGCCTTATATGGGGTCAGAGCAAAGCTGTGATTCGTTGAGCCTTGCATTGTATAGAAAACATACTTGTAATGCCCGTTTGCTTCCTTTTAAAATAAAAACAAAACAGAAAAAGCAGCAGGCTTCCAAGTCTATCAATATAGAAAGTAACAAAATAGTGTGCAGGTTTTACTAATGACAGTAAATGGAAATAAGGCTCTGTGGAGTTAAAATACTAAAAATAGATGTTGGACGTTTTGACCTCCTTAGCATCCTATGATGTAAGAGACTAAAAAGCATGTTAGACATCTGTTGTCTACCTGCCCTTATTTTACAGTGGTTTAGTAAGATTAAATAGTCATATGTTCACGTGGTTACCATGCCCCACTGGGTTTTGATACTGACTACATACTTGGAAATTAAAGCGGGAATAGTTAACTTTGAATGTTCTGGTCCTTTTTTTAAAAAAAAAAAATGGAGTTATGTAACTTCAAAAACTGAAATGTTGTAATGGTAAAACAAGTGAGAATGAAATTTGCTTTTCAGATAGTTATGAATTTTTGTTTATATTCGTAGGTTGGAGAAAATAGTTATTGGGTCTATCAGGAGGAAAAGTATTAAGATATTTTCAAATATAATTCACTTATCTTTGTAATTCTTTTTATTTAGGCAAATGCCCTATCTGGATCTTCTCTTAGTCAGGCACCATCTCATATGTATGGCAATAGATTAAATCCAAATTCTTCAATGGCAGCTCTTATAGCTCAGTCTGAAAACACTCAAACAGGTAAGTTTTCAAGAATTTTTAAACTCTAAAATTCTATCCCTTTTACCCAATGAAATTTTCCCTTCAATGGCTTATTTTATTTGAAAAGTCTAAAGGTATGCTTAATATAGAATTATGCCTTTTTTTTTCCCCTTTACCAGAAGAATCACAGTTGGAAGTAAATAGTATGCTGTGCTGCAAAATAGTTATGTGCCTTTTTCACTCTCTGAAATGTAAATGTTTAAGCAGAGGCATCAGCAGGCAGGAATGCAACAATGTCTCATGTGACTTCTGTGATTGATGTGTTCAGTTCTCAGTTCTATTCAATGAAAGTAACGTAACACTGGGCTTTTCGGTGAATAGCCTAAACCTTTATTTGCATAATTCATGAAATTGCATTGCACAAACTTGGTTTTAAAAAAATCCTGTTAGAGAATTTCTACAGTGTTTAGTAATCCTTTGAATTTTTACCAGTTGCCTTTTTTTAGCATTTGCCTCTTGTACTATTTTAATGAGTTCTGGATTTGCTTTGTTTCATTCCATCCTTAAGGATTTGTTGACATGTCCAAGTAGTCATGCCTGTTTGGGGGAAGGGAATGGGTTTAGCAGTTCACCAAGAATGGATCAGTCATGTCTTTACCCTTTAAGGGTCAAAGGTTACCTGACTCAGAATAAGGGGAGGACAACCTTGAAAGAGGCCAGATAGGGTGATTTTTTAAGCAACTAACTAGGAAATACAAGTTACTTTTCAAGCAGAGATATTCTGTTACCTCAGGAATATTTTGAAGAAATTAAATTTTTCCTTTTAAATACAGAATTCTGTGTTCCTACTTATTTTTGTCAATTTGGATATTTAACGTTATATTTAACTTTATTCTTGGTGTGAGGTTCCATGTAATTAATACATATATATATAATTTTAATCTTGGTGTGTGGCTCTATGTAATACATTATGTATTTTATTACTTCTCTTGGGTTGCAAAGTGTTAAAAAAGTGTAAGGATTTGCTGTGATAAGCATGCAGATTACCTGTCCACCGCTGTGATTCATTACTTTAACCGTAGAAATTAAAAGTGGCTGAGGGGAGGGTACTGCAAATGCAAACCACACTTCTGTGCTGTAAAATTGAAAGGAATGAAAGAACAGAACATAATCCATGGCCTTCTACACCCACAGAAACGTGTACAGACAACGCCTTACATGCCACAGTTCAGCAATTCTAAACTAGCAACATACTAAATCTTTTATTTTCATAGTAACTACAAAGATAGGGGTAAAGGTTTTATGTATGTTTTAGGGAAAAATCAGGGCAAGAGATTAAAACCTCTTATCTAGAGAGTCACTTTATCAGCTATGAAATATTTACACTGCAGATCAGGATCTTGGAGACAATAGCCGCAGCCTTGTTGGCAGAGGAAGCTCACCCCGAGGAAGTCTCTCACCAAGGTAAGCATTATTTACACTGCAAAGTATAGGCAAAAGAAACATTTTGAGATTGGAAACTTCTTTATCTCATATCAGCAGAGTGTACATTTGTGAGGCTATAAAAGCACTCTGAAGATAAAAAGCATGTCTGGACAGTCAAGAAAAATGATTCTGAATTAATTTGAATATTAATTTAAACACAGTTTTCTAAGCTTTTTTAAAGCTATAATTCTTTTAAATTTCCAATCAATTTGAAATCTCTTGTTTTTATTATTTATATATTTAGCTGCTGATACTATTAACATATTAATTTGGGTAATTCTTTTTGCTCATAAAATAGTCTTCAAATCTCTTACAGCTGCAGAGTCAAGGCTTTCAACTTTGGCTTCCAGTTTTAGTTCTGTTGTGGGCAATTTGCTTAAACCTTTAGTCTTTAGTTCCTAATTTAGTAAATGAAGTTCTTGTTGTTCATCTCTGAAATCCCTCTAGTTCTTAGAATTGTTTGAATCAAAGTATAGCAAATGTGTTACATTATTTTTTGAAATTGTTTTAGATATTATATGGAAGAATTCAGGGACCATTTATTAGGACACTCTTAACCAGAGTTGTACTGAAGGATTGAATTTCTCTTAGCACAATCTAAGTGCCCCAAATCTTCTCTCTCAATGGGGAGAATAGTAGTAGGAAATGTTGTGTCTGTGTTTTACTAATTTTATTCCACTTTCACCTTCTACACCTTCTCCTGGTTTGTTTTCTCTCTGTTCTCTAATTTTGTAAGTTCTGCCTCAAGTATGGAATTAGACTGGGTGAGAATGGAGAGCAGAAGGAGAAAAAAGCCCATTCTAGAAGCTTTTTTCAACCATGGCAAACTAAAAATGTTCAACTATGGGAATTTTTAAAAATTCTGTTAAAAATTAAAATTATTAGCCCTGGTTGGGTTGGCTCAGTGGTTAGAGTGCCAGTCCATGGACCGAAGGGTCTCAGTTTCGATTTCTGGTCAAAGGCATGAACCTCAGTTGCAGGATCAATGCCCTGCCCCAGTTGGGGAGGCAACCAACCAATCAATGTGTCTCTCTCATGTTGATGTTTCTCTCTGTCTCTCCTTTCCTCTCTCCCTTCTATTCTCTCTGAAAATCAATGGAAAGATATCCTCAGTTGAGGATTTAAAAAAAAAAATTAAAATTTCTATGTGATAGCTGCCATGAGTATCAGTGTTACTGTATTGCTGATATCACCAGGGAAGTTCTGTTAAGAAACATATTTGTCATTAAAGAGATTAGTACAGTAACCTCTAATTTTGCTATTTTTTATTTTTATTTTATTCTTTTAATATATTTTATTGATTTTTTACAGAGAGGAAGGGAGAGGGATAGAGAGTTGGAAACATCGATGAGAGAGAAACATCGATCAGCTGCCTCCTGCACACTCCCCACTGGGGATGTGCCCGCAACCAAAGTACATGCCCTTGGCTGGAATCGAACCCGGGACCCTTGAGTCCACAGGCCGACGCTTTATCCACTGAGCCAAACCAGTCAGGGCAAATTTTGCTATTTTTTAGGTGGTAGTATATCCTAGCAGTGCCTTTTATTCTACATAATTCCTTTCTTTTTAAAATTTATCTTTATTGTTGAAAGTGTTATAGATGTCCCCTTTTTCCACTCCATTGTCCCCTTTCTTCTCACTTCCTTCCCTTCTCAGGCCTTCACCACACTATTGACTGTGTCCATGGATTTTGCATATATGCATATAAGTTCTTTGGTTAATCCCTTCACCTCTTCCCTCTGAGAATCATCAATCTGTTGCATGCTTTCATGTCTCTGGATTTATTTTGTTTGCCAGTTTATTCTATTCAGTAGAGTCCACGTATAAGTGAGATCATGTGATATTTGTCTTTCTCTACATTGCTTATTTCGGTTAGCATAATACTTTCCAGTTTCTTCCATGCTGTCTCACAGGGTAAGAGATCCTTCTTTTTTATAGCTGCATAGTATTCCATTGTATAAATGTACCACAGCTTTTTTATCCACTCATCTACAAATGGGTACCTGGGCTGTTTCCAGGTCTTAGCTATTATAAATAATGCTGTTATGAACATAAGGGTGCATATATTCTTTCTGATTGGTGTTTCAGGCTTCTTAGGCTATATTCCTAGCAGTGGGATTACTGGGTCAAATGGCAATCCCATTTTTAATTTTTTGAGAAAAGTCCACATTTGAGGAAAGTGTTTGTACCAGTTTGCATTCCCACCAGCAGTGTACTAGGTTTCCTTTTTTTCCACATCCTCATCAGCACTTGTTGTTTGTTGATTTATTGATGGAAGCCTTTTTGCTGGCAGGTGTGAAGTGGTACCTCATTGTCATCATCTTAATTTGCATTTTTCTGATGATTAGTGATGTTGAGCTTTTTATCATATGTCTCTTGGGCATTTGTATGTCCTCTTTTGAGAAGTGTCTATTTAGGTTCTCTGCCCATTTTTAAATTGTATTATTTGTCTTCCTTTTGTTGATTTGTATGAGTACTTTGTATGTTTGGAAATTAACACCTTATCAGATGTATCATTGGCACATATGTTCCCCTATACAGAGGATTCCCTTTTCATTTTGATGATGCTTACTTTTGCCCTGCCAAACTTTTTATTTTGCTGTAGTCCTATTTGTTTATTTCCCCTTTCTTTCTCTTGCTATAGACATTTTATCAGGGAAAATTCTGCTACAAGGGATGTTTGATATTTTGCTGCCTACGTTTTCTTCTAGGATTTTTATAGTTTCACGACTTACATTTAAATCTTTTATCCATTTTTAGTTTATTTTTGTGTATGGTGTAAGTTGGTGGTCTAGTTTCATGTTTTTGCATATACCTGTCCAATTATCCTAACACCATTTATTGAAGAGACTATCTTTACTTCGTTGTACCCTCTTGCCTCCTTTATCAAATATTAACTGAATATAATGGCTTGTGTTGATTTTTGGGTTCTCTGTTCTGTTCCAATGATCTATATTCCTGTTCTTGTGCCAGTACCACGCTGTTTTGATTACAGTAGCTTTACAGTATAGCTTGATATCCGGTATTATGATCTCTCCAACCTTGTTCTTCTTTCTCAAAATTGTTGCAGCTATTTGGTGTCTTTTTTGGTTCCATATAAATTTTTGGAGTATTTGTCCTAGATCTGTGAAATATACCATTTAAAAATATATATACATTTTTTTTATTGATTTCAGAGAGGGAGGGAGAGAGAGAGAGAGATCAGTGATGAGAGAGAATCATTGATCAGCTGCCTCTGCATGCCCCACACTAGGGATCGAGCCTACAACCTAGGCATTTGCCCGATCAGGAATTGAACCGTGACCTCATGGTTCATAGGTCGACCCTCAACCACTGGGCCATGCCAGCTGGGCTATACCATTGGTGTTTTAATAGGGATTGAAATGAATCTATATATTGCTTTGGGTAGTATGGACATTTTAATGATGCTAATTCTACCCATCCATGAGCATGGTATATTCTTCCACTTGCTTATCTCTTCTGTCTCTTTTTTTCAACATTCTGTAGTTTTCTAAATATAGGTATTTTACCTCCTTGGTTAAGTTTAAGTATCTTAATTTCTTTGTTACAATGGTAAAGGGATTGTTTGTTTAGTTTCTCTTTCTGAGAGTTCATTATTGGTGTATAAAAATGCCATTGGCCCTAACCGGTTTGGCTCTGAAGGGGCCCAGGTTTGATTCCAATCAAGAGCATGTACCTTGGTTGCGGGCGCATTCCCAGTGGGGAGTGTGCAGGAGGCAGCTGATCGATGTTTCTCTCTCATTTCTATCCCTCTCCCTTCCTCTCTGTAAAAAAACAATAAAATATATATATATTTTTAAAAAATAATAAAAATGCCATTGAGTCCTAGCCAGTTTGATTCAATGGATAGAGCATCAGCCCGCAAAATGAAGGGTCCCCGGTTTGATCCCCGGCCCTAGTCAGGGTGCATGTGATTCTCTCAGATCTATGTTTTTCTCTCGTTGTTTCTTCCCCTTCCTTTCAATCTCTCTAAAAATCAATGGGAAAGTATCCTCAGGTGAGGATTTTTTTTAAATGCCATAAATTTCGGGGTGTTATTTTTCTATCGTGCTACATTGCTGAATTCATTTATTAAATCTTGTACTTTCTTGGTGGAGTCTTTAGGGTTTTCTGTATACAATATCATGTCCTCTGTGGATAATGACAATTTTACATCCTCCTGTAGGTTTTTCATATATGGCCTTTATTATGTTGAGGTACGAACCCTCTGTTCCCACTTTGCTGAGAGTTTTTATCAAAAATGGGTGCTGGGCCCTAGCTGGTTTGGCTCAGTGGACTGCAGACTGAAGGGTTCCAGGTTCGATTCCGGTCAGGGGCACATGCCTGGGTTGCAGGCTCGATCCTCAGTGGGGGGCATGTAGGAAGCAGCCGATCAATGATTCTCTTTCATCATTGATTTTTCTATCTGTCTCTCCCTTTCCCTTTCTCTCTGAAATCAATAAAAAAATATATTTTTAAAAATGGGTGTTTGATTTTGTTGAATGCTTTTTCTGCATCTATTGATATGATCGTGTGATTTTTGTCTTTCAATTTGTTATGTGATGTATCACATTTAGTGATTTGTTAATATTGTACCAGCTTTGCATCCCTGGAATAAATCCCACTGGTCATGATGTATGATCTTTTCAATATATTGCTGGATCTGATTTGCTAATATTTTGTTGAGGATTTTAGCATCTAAGTTCGTCAGGGATGTTACTGTAATTCTCTTTCTTTGTAGTGTCTTTATCTAGTTTTAGAATTAGTATAATGTTGGCCTCATAGAAAGAGCTTGGACGTGTTCCTTCCTCTTGGATTTTTTGGAATAGTTTGGGGAGGATACGTGTTAGTTATTCTTTGAAGGTTTGGTAAAACTTCCCTATGAAGCTGTCCTGGCCAGGTTTTTTTACTACTGCTTCTATTTTATCAGTTGTAATTGGCCTATTCAGGTTTTATGATTCTTCCTGATTTAGTTTTGGAAGATTGTATTATTCTAGGAATTTTTCCATTTCATCCACATTGTCCAGCTTGTTGGCATATAGTTGCTCATAATATTTTCTTACAATCCTTTCTATTTCTGTGATGTCAGTTGTTACTTCACCGCTTTTATTTCTAATTATTTGGGTCTTTTTGTTTCTTGATGAGTTTGGCTAAAGGTTCATCAATCTGGTTTATCTTTTCAAAGAACCAGCTCTTGGTTTCATTGATCTTTTGTATTATTTTTAGTCTCTGTGTCATTTATTTCCACTCTGATCTTTATTATTTTCTTTCTTCCACTTACCCTGGGCTTTTATTCTTCTCTTTCTAATTCTTCAAGTTGTAGGGTTAAATAGTATATTATTAATTTTTATTGTTTTTTTGTGGTAGGCTTATTAACTTCCCTCTCAGGACTGCTTTTGCTGTGTCCCAGAGATTTGGGGTTGTTGTGTCTTCATTTTCATTTTTTTCCAGGAAGTGTTTTATTTTTTTCTTGATCTCATTGGTAACCCATTCATTTAATAACATGCTATTTAGCCTCTATGTGTTTGAATATTTTTGAGTTTTTACTGTAGTTGATTTCTAATTTCATGCCATTGTGAAACAAGAAGATGCTTGATATGATTTCAGTCTTCTTGAACTTGTGGAGACTTGTTTTGTGTCCTAACATGTCAATTTTTGAGAATTTTCCATATGCACTTAAAAAGAATGTATATTCTGCAGTTTAGGGATGAAATGTTCTGTAAATGTCGATTAAGTCCATGTGACTTAGTGTGTCATTTAGAGTCACTGTTTCCTTGTTAATTTTTTGTCTGGAAGATCTATCCAGTGATGTCAGTGGGGTGTTAAAATCCCCTATTATGGCCCTGGCTGGTTTGGCTTGGTGGATAGAGCGTCAGCCTGCAGACTGAAGGGTCCCGGGTTCAATTCTGGTCAAGGGCACATGCCAGGCTGCGGGCTCGATCCCCAATGGGGAGCGTGCAGGAAGTAGCCAGTCAATGATTCTCTCTCACCATTGATGTTTCTATCTCTCTCTCTCTCTCCCCCTCTCCCTTCCTCCCTGAAACCAATAAAAATATATGTTTTTTTAAAATCCCCTACTATGATAGTATTGTTGTAAATCTCTCCCTTACGGTCTTCCAGAAGTATCCTATATAATAAAACTCTGATATGCAAATCGACCGAATGGCGGAACAACCAGCAGAACAACCGGTCGCTATGACGCGCACTGACCACCAGGGCGCAGATGCTCAACACAGGAGCTGCCCCCAGCCCCCAACTGGCGGTGGCAGCAGTGGGCGGGGCCGGCAAGCAGGCGGTGCTAGGCCACCAGCCAAGGCGGGTGCCAGCAGGGGCCCCCCACCCCCACCCCCGATCGCTCCACCGGTTGCCCCGCAGAGGGAGGCGACTGGTGGCAGCAGTGGGGGGGGGGGGGGTCGGCGAGCCAAGGTAGGTGCCAGTGGGGACCCTGATCACCCCGCTGGTTGCCCCACAGATCAGCCCTGATCGCTGGTCAGGCCTGGAGACCCTACCCATGCACGAATTTTGTACACCAGGCCTCTAGTTTTATATATTTGGGTGTTCCTATATTGGATGCATATATGTTAACCAGGGCTATATATATACTCTTGTTGATTCAACCCCTTTTGTATTATGTAGTGGCCTTCATTATCTCTTGTTATGGCCTTCATTTTGAAGTCTGTTTTATCAGATATGAGTATTGATTCACCAACTTTTTTTTCTTTTCTATTTGTATGGAAAATTTTTTCCCATTTCTTCACTTTCATCCTAAGCGAGTCTCTTGTAGACAGCATATATTTGGGTCATGTTTTCATATCCATACAGCTACCCTATGTCTTTTGTTTGGAACATTTAAGCCATTTACATTTAAGGTTATTATTGATAGGTACTTGTTTGTTGCCATTCTTATTCTTTATGTCTGTGTTCCTCTCTCTTTCCCTATTTCTTTTTTTTACAACAGCGCCTTTAGCATTTCTTGCAGTACTAGTTTGGTGGTAATAAACTCCTTTAGCCTTTTTTTTTGTCTGCGAAGCTCTTTATTCACCTTCAATTTTGAATGATAGCCTTGCTCAATATAGTAGTCTTGGATTTAGTTCCTTGTTCTTCATTACTTTGTATACTTCATGCCACAACCTTCTGGCCTGATGTGTTTCTGTTGAGAAATCTGCTGACATTCTAATGGGAGTTCCCTTGTAGGTCACTTTCTTTCTCTTGCAGCCTTTAAGATTCTTTCTGGCCCTAACTGGTTTGGCTCAGTGGATAGAGTGTCGGCCTGCGGACTTAAAGGTCCCAGGTTCGATTCCAGTCAAGGGCATGTACCTGGGTTGCAGGCACATCCCCAGTAGGAGGTGTGCAGGAGGCAGTTGATCGATGTTTCTCTCTCATCGATGTTTCTGACTCTCTATCCCTCTCCCTCTCTGCAAAAAATCAATAAGATATATTTTTAAAAATAATAATTATAAAAAGAAGATTCTTTCTATGTCTTTAACATTTTCCATTTTAATTATGATATGTCTTTTTTTTAACATATTTTTATTGATATCAGAGAGGAAGGGAGAAGGAGAGAGAGAGATAGAAACATCACTGATGAGAGAGAATCGGTGACTGTCTGCCTCCTGCACAACCCCCATTGGGGATCAAGCCCACAACCTGGGCATGCACCCTTGACCGGAATCGAACCTGGGACCCTGCAGTCCGCAGGTCGACGCTCTATCCACTGAGCAAGACTGGCCAGGACATAATTATGATAAGTCTTGGTGTGGGTCTTTTTGTGTTCGTTTTTATTGGGGCTGTCTGCGTTACTTGAAATTGTGTGACTTTTTCCTTAACCAGGTTAGGGAAGTTTTATGTCATTATTTGTTCAAACAGGTTCTCTATTCCTTGCTCAGATTTTTCTTCTTCTGGCACTCCTGTGATGCAGACGTTTCACATTTCATGGTGTCCCAAAGCTCCCGTAATCCTATATAATTCTGGAGTGAACTAAAAGTAGTATTGTTTTTCCTAACTGCAGAAAATTAACTATTCTCTCTTTGAAACTAGGTATATATGAAGTACACAGTGGTAACAACATCTGACTAATCTCTAATTTTATACTGTGTTTACTTCTATATTGTTTTATTCTTCCTTTCAAAGACAAAAGCTAATGGCTTTTGCTCTTATGTGTAGTAGAGGAAGCATTTCTGTGTTCTCCTTTTAAAACTTAAAATCCCGTACAAGCTACCCAGAAATTATTTAAGATCCTTCAGTGCTATTTTGTTTCGTGTCATTTTTTTTCATTAGCTAAATGGGATTTAACACAATAAATGGTACAAAATTATTTTTATCATATATCTTCAACTTTATATTATACCTTAAAGATCAGCCTGAAATGTAATAGCATAAATTTTCCTGGAATAATGATCTATTTGGAGTGTGATAGCCAAATGTATGTATATGTAGCACATGGTGTTTTCATATGGAATAAAAAGCCTCATTTGTTTAACTTCTTATTTAAAGATATTTTTCTAGAGAAACATTTTAAGGCAGTGGCAAAACAACTGTTTGTTGTTAGAAGACTTGCCTTGTAGCCCAAACTCTGTCATTTATCAGCTTTGTGTCTTTGGATAGGACACTCAAGCGCCATTTGTTTCCTCAGATAGAAATAGAGCCAGGCTTTGACTTCTTACTAGGTTGTTGAGAAAATCATATGAGATGATTATGTGGAAACACTTTGGACACTCTAAAACCCTTTATTAATGTGTTACATTAATATGGGAGCTGGGAACTAGAAATAGCCACATTTACTAATTTAAAACAAAAAAAAGCAGGTGATTGGGTACATTGCATAGTCATCTCAATATAAGTAACTAGAGGCCCGGTGCACAAAATTCGTGCACGGGTAGGGTCCCTAGGCCTGGCCAGTGATTGGGGCCTTCCAGCTGCCTGCCAGGGCCTTCCTTTTTCTACGCCGCCCCCTGGTGGTCATTGCACATCATAGCGAACGATTGAACTCCTGGTCGAACTCCCGAGGGAACACTTGCATATTAGCCTTTTTTATATAGAGATACTTGTTTTGGAAGTGTTAATTAAGTCATCTGAAGTGCAGAGAAGACATTTTAGAAAAATTTGTAAAATAAAAATTACTTTGGTCTTGATAATGTTCCTTAATACTGAAAATACTTACAAATAAGTATTTTAGATTTAGAACAAAAGGCTCCTTCAAAATTATTAAAAATATCTGTTTACTAATACTTGATTGAGGTTTTTTTGGTTGTAAATTAAAATACATTCTACATTATTATAATTCTGATATTTTGCATATTAAAGCAGAATGGTGGAACTCTTTTCTCTTCTGGCTAGTTAGGTTAAAATCTTTCTAATCCTCTTTTTCCCTTTTATCTTATAAACCTATAAGTTCTTGTATAGTCTGTTTCAGATATTATTGTCAGTGTATTTATATTTTCTAGTGGTTTTTAATTATCAAGTATGGCCAGCTAGTCCTTTGGTTTTGCATTTGAGGAGGAAGAATGATAATTACTAAATCTTAGGGTAGATTATGGTTTGATTGTTCTAGCATAGGCTGCTTGGTGTTAGAAAACTTGTACAGGAAAAAGGTCAGCGTAAGTTGAGAAATGTGAATGCTCTCCTTTGAAGGGTTCTGCTGTTTAACCTGAGAATTAATGTTTTCAACAGATCCCCTGTAAGCAGCTTACAGATTCGCTATGACCCACCAGGCAACAGCAGTTTGGAAAATCTGCCTCCAGTAGCAGCCAGCATAGAACAGCTTTTGGAGAGGCAGTGGAGTGAAGGACAGCAATTTTTATTAGAACAGGGCACTCCTAGTGACAGTAAGTATTCTTTTCTTGTCTTTAAAGAAAGATGAATAGATGGATGGGTGGATGAAACAACAGAGAGGTGGATAGGTGCAGAAGTCACGCTTCATCAAGAATAGCAATGAAATGATGATATATGTTTTATATTAAAAGGTAAGAAAAATGTAATATAGTGGCTTAGTGGAACAAATTCTAGTTTTACTGCATGATCTTATATCCTGTCTTTACATACTTTAGCAGTATGATCATGGGTAACTTTCTTAAATGTCAGTGTGCTTTAGTCTCCCATTTGTAGAATGGGAGTAATAATGTACCTATATCATAGTTTTGAGGGTTAAATGACATAAAAAAATGTAAAGAACATTGCCTGACTCATAGAAAACTCTAATCTATTCACTGATTATTGTTACTGTTTATAATTATTATAATAGGGATACATTGTTTCTCATTGTATTTTGTTCTGATAAATTTTTAACTTTTACTAAAATACATGAGTTATATTTTTTCTCTTAGCTTAATTTTGAATAAAAGTTGCTCATCTTGGGAGAATTTATTGTAAACAGTGCATATAGTCAAGTATGCCAACTATCTTGATTTTATAATTTGTATGGGAAAGAATAATTACTAAATTATATATGTAAATAATATATATAATTTTTATATATTACATATTATTTACTTTTTTAAATTATATAATATATGTTATATATACATATTTAGTATCTTTACAATTTTGAGTATTGGCAGGGAGACCATAGGTAAAAAATGCCAAACAGCAAAGTTACAGTAAAGGTGGTGGTTAGCTAGAAAAGTGGCCTAGTGTTAAGGATATAGTTGGGGGCAGGATGAGGAATAGGTGGTTTTTATATTTTGGGATATAAACTTTTGCTGCTTTATTTTATTAAAACACTAGAGGCCCAAATGCATGAAATTTGTGCGTGGGTGGGGTCCCTAGCCCTGGCCAGCAATCAGGGCCGATCAGGTTCCCCGCCTCCCTGCCTCCTCCTTCCCTTGCTGCCCTCATCCACCACTACCCACCCCCGGTTCTCAGCCCAGCCTGGGGCCTGACCCCGATCAGGTGATCGGGACCTGCCAGCTGAGGGGAGGGACCCAGGAGGTTGGCCGCTGGCCCCGAGGAGGGAGCAGGCCCTTGGCCCCCCCTGGGAAAGGGGCCGCATCCGCCGCCACCCACCCCCGGTTCCCCATCCCAGCCCAGGGGCCTGCCGGCTGGAGGGAAGGACCAGGAGGTTGGCTGGCAGGCCCCATGGGCGATTGGGGTCTGCAGGCTGGGCACAGCTCCTGCATTGAGCATCTGCCCCCTGGTGGTCAGTGTGCGTCATAACGACCAGTCATTCCAGTCATTCCATTGTAATGGTTGCTTAGGCTTTTATATATATACTAGAGGCCCGGTGCACAAAAATTTGTGCACTCGGGGGGGGGGGTGAGGGGGGTACCCCAGCCCGGCCTGTGCCCTCTCGCAGTCTGGGACCCCTCGGGAGATAATGACCTGCTGGCTTAGGCCTGCTCCCGGGTGGCAGAGGGCAGGCCCAATCCCTAGGTGCAGTCCCTGGTCAGGCTCAGAGCAGGGCCGATTGGGGAGTTGGGGCCCTGCCCCCTGTCACACAGAGCCGCAGGGGGGATCAGGGGGTTTGGGCGCTGCCCCCTGTCACGCTGATCCCGGTGCCGGGAGGATATTACCCTTTTACTATATAGGATAGAGGCCGGGTGCATGGGTAGGGGCTGGCTGGTTTGCCCTGAAGGGTGTCCTGGATCAGGGTGGGGGTCCCCATTGGGGTGCCTGGCCAGTCTGGGTGAGGGGCTGAGGGCTGTTTTCCGGGTGGCGAGTGACTGAAGCTCCCAACCGCTCCTTGTTTCTTTTTTTTTTTTTTTTTTTTATTCTGGGCCAGCTTTAGCTCTGAGGCCTCGCTGCTGAAAACATCGATACAATGTTGCGGTCTGGCTGGCTTTCAGTCCGGCTGGTTTCTGGGGTTTTGTTTAGCTTCTTGTTTGCAACATAGTACATAGTTGCTTAGAGTTGCAGCTGAGAGGCCGGCAAGTGAGGCGGGGAACGTTGGAGTCCGAAGTCACTGAAGCACGCAAGCCTCCCTGCTCGCTTCAGTGCCTGGCTGCAGGCCGCCATCTTGGCTGACAGTTAATTTGCATAAGGATATGCTGATTAGCCAATGGGAAGGGTAGCGGTCGTACGCTAATTACCATGTTTCTCTTTTATTAGTGTAGATATATACTTATTTTCCTTATTGTTAGTAGACAAGTGCCATAAATTGTATTTTTATGAATGGTGCCCTGACAAAAAAAAATGCTTATTTTAAGAAAATTCATGCTGACATAATCCTTTAAATGATAGCTGGAGAACAGGTTTTGCTTAGTCTTATTGCATCTCATTTGGGTGCACTAAGAGTTTCTTTGTGGGATCTTGAAGAGGAGGACTAAAAGTTAAATCCTTGGGAAATGACCATATGTGTTTATACCAGTAGAATTATATCTTTTTATTCCCTGGCAGCATGTTAAGCAAATACAACTTTTTAAGACATAGAACTTTTAAAGTGTCTGTCACTGTGGCATAACAATAGCACTCTGAGGACTTATATGCAGGCATATAGGCCTAACCAATGGACACAGACAACAGGAGGGTGAGGGATGAGTGGGGGGGATGGGAGGTAATGTGGGGATAAGGACACATATGTAATAACTTAATCAATAAAGACATTAAAAAAAACAGTAGCACTCTGTGTTGTTAGTCTAGAGGTCAGTTTTTTTTTGAGGTGATGAGGAAGGACAGAAACTGAGCCTGTTTACAGATGATGAGCCTTCTCTGGGAGTGGGGGTTGTGGTGCGCACACACTGCCCCCTGCTGGGAGATGTATGCATTAGCATTCTGAGCAGCTGGGCTTGGGGGTTCCTCACCTGTCTGGTAGCAAACTTAACCAAGCGGCAAACAAAAGCATGTGGTGGTTATTGTGTTGAAGGATATTGTTATGATTATTTCTCACTTTATACTATTAATGTAAAATAGCCTAAAATGGCACTTTGACGTTTAGTTAGGTTTTTATTTTGATGAAAATAAAATGTTTTTGTCTTTTTTTTTGAGAATGGAAATTACCTGCACCAGGTGGGTGCTTTTTTGGTTATGCTTATATCTGTACAAATACATTATAGTATATTTATATCTACATATAAATTTAGGGATAAAACAATCATTTAGAAATGCTTTACAGAATTTCTATTTTTCTATTTCAACTTATTTCTAAAGTTATCGACACTTATGTACTTAGCCTTGTGTGTGAACTTGTCTTTGTTAAAAGCTATCCAAATGTTTGCTAGTTTTAGGAATGCTGAAATCATTACACCAACTTCAAGTTGAAAATCGAAGATTAGAGGAACAAATTAAAAACTTAACTGCCAAAAAGGAACGCCTTCAGTTATTGAATGCACAGCTCTCAGTGCCTTTTCCAGCAATAACAACAAATCCTAGTCCATCTCATCAAATTCATGCATTTTCAGCACAGAATGGTATGAAAATATTTATCATGTATCTATGAAAAGTAGGCTAGACTTTCAATACCTTTTAAATAAGTGAATAATAACTTACATGAAGATATAGAAAAGGAATGATAGGTTATTTCAAAGAGCATAAGGAATCCTGTTAAGTGATGAACTTGAATTTGTTCCAACTTTATCACATAATTTAATGATAAATTTTATTTAAATGTGTGATGATTTTTTATTGATTGAAAGCCATGATATTCAATAGAGATAAATATTTTTATTATTATTATTTAAACTAGTCTTAGGAAGAGCAAGACTTAATTTTTTTAAGTGTTTTTAATGTGGGCCACAGGATAAGCTTTTAGATAAGCCTTTAATCTTATACCTGATGTAATTTAACAGGGTAAATAGGTTTATTTTTTTCTTTTATTTTTCTAGCTCCTACTACTGATTCCTTGAACAGCAGTAAGAGCCCTCATCTAGGAAACAGTTTTTTACCTGAGAATTCTCTTCCTGTACTAAATCAGGTAATTCTGGTGTGGTTAGTTTAATTTGTTTATTTTACTTACAAACAATAGTATGTCACATTAAATGGTTTTAAATGATCTTAAACAGTTTTTCTGTGTTCCTTACAATTTAAATTTCTGTTTTTTCTTCCATTAGGACTTAACCTCCAGTGGACAAAGCACCAGCAGCTCATCAGCTCTTTCTACTCCACCTCCTGCTGGGCAGAGTCCCGCTCAGCAGGGCTCAAGCGTTAGTGGAGTTCAGCAGGTCAATGGTGTGACGGTGGGGGCGCTGGCTAGTGGAATGCAGACTGTAACATCCACCATTCCTACAGTGCCTGGAGTGGGTGGGATAATTGGAGCTTTGCCAGGTAACCAACTGGCAATTAATGGCATTGTAGGAGCTTTAAATGGGGTTATTCAGACTCCTGTCACAATATCCCAGAACCCTACCCCCCTCACCCATACAACTGTACCACCTAATGCAACTCATCCAATGCCAGCTACACTGACTAACAGGTGAGAAACTTACTTAAATATATTTAGGTTTTTCAGTGCAACCTAATACCATGTTGTCCATGTTTTAGATTGGGATTTTTATGTGCTCCTTGTAGATGTACTCTAAGAAATTAAAGCCCACCAAACTTTTAAACTAAGTATATTACATTGAGAGCCATTTATTTTTGAAACTTAACTCTGAATAAAGCAAAATTAAACCACTTTAGTAACAAAACATTATATTCTGTGCTGAAAATTTTAGTCTTGATCTGTGATGTATATTTTAAATACTAATTTTTATCCCTGTGTATGTTGCCTTCATGTATCATAAATTCTGAAGAAAAGAAATATTGTAATGAAGATCACATATGAATATTGGTTTCTTAAAATTGAGCTATGTAATTTCCTTAGTTTTATAATAAAAAATCTTTGATATAGGATGAAGGTTTAAATATTTATATTGAATATCTAGGGAGTGAGACTCTCTGTTTCATTGTACTAGAATTTTATTTGAATGTTTGTTCAGCATAAGGAGACTAAGATCATGTTATTGAACATACTTTTGAGGAATAAATCACTTTAAATGGATTTTCAGTGGGTACTAGTAAACTTCTTTATGGCTCTCTCTTCATTGGTGCTTAATTTTACTGATCATTGGGACCATTTAAAAGGGTTAGGTCAAATCACTCAGTAGTATGTTTGGATTATTTCTTGTTTTAAATATGTGTTACTTAGTGGGGGTTAAATGATTCTTGAATAATTAAGAATAAATTATTACATGTGCATGTTATAAACACATGTAAATTTCTATTCCATAAAATAACTTAGTGCCTGCTTGGTTTACAATAAAAAAGGAAAACAAAACATTTCTCGACAATGTGAATTCTTATTTATCTGTATGCGTGCTCACACATGTGTGCACACACATATGCACACAGAAATAAATTTGTACATCATTGTTTCCAAGAATGTTATAATTAAAAACTTGACTTAACTTATTAAACATCAAATCAAAGAGTGGTCTTTCATTTTACATTTAAAAAAACATTAAAGGTATATAGTAGAAAGTAAGAATTTTAATCTTTTTTCAGTGCCTCAGGACTAGGATTACTTTCTGACCAGCAAAGACAAATATTTCTTCATCAACAGCAATTTCAGCAGTTGTTAAATTCTCAACAGCTCACGCCAGTAAGTGCTTCCTTTTGATAATATTTGATTTTTATTAGGAGAAAGTGATCTAAGTTGTAATAGATATTCAGTGTGCCTTATTGATTATACATTTTGTGAAATAACATGGGATGCATAATATAAAAATAGTTTGTCTTTGTCATTTGGTATTATCTGCAGTACCTGTAGTGACATTATATTAATTCACTTACAAATATTAGAACATGTGCTATGGTACTGTGGTAGATTCTGGGATAGCGTGGTGAGCAAAATTTTGTATTTTCATGGAGCTTCGTTCTGATAGGGGAGATGGATAATAAATATATACTTTTTGGTAGTGATAAATATTGAGAAGAAAAATAAAGCAGGATAGGGATAGAGAACAGTGGCATGAGGGCCATTTTTATAGGATGGTCCAGCTTTTTTGTGTAGGTGACTTTTGAGCACAGATCTGAATACAAGTTGAAGTTGAAAGAAGCATGACTTTCTGACATGGGAATAGACGAGAAAGCATACTCCAGGTAGAGGGAGTAGCAGTTGTAAAAGACCTCAGCTGTACAAGTGTTTATGTTTTCGAGACTAGAAAACAGGCTGGCATGACTATAGGACAGTGATGGCGAACCTTTTGAGCTCGGCGTGTCAGCATTTTGAAAAACCCTAACTTAACTCTGGTGCTGTGTCACATATAGAATTTTTTTATATTTGCAACCATAGTAAAACAAAGATGTATATTTTTGATATTTATTTTATATATTTAAATGCCATTTAACAAAGAAAAATCAACCAAAAAAATGAGTTCGCATGTCACCTCTGACACGCGTGTCATAGGTTTGCCATCACTGCTATAGGATGAGAGAGGCTCATGCAGAGGAAAGAAGGTCAGATAGGTGGTTTTGGTCCAGAGATAAGACTGTCTTGTTTGGCTGTTTGTGGCAAGAAATTTAGATTTATCTTAAGTGCGATGGAAAGCCATTGGTGATTTTTTTTTAACTTTCTTTATGGAAAATTTAAAATGTACCCATAGAGAGTATAATAAACTAATCACCTAGCTTTAATAATTATCCAAATTTTTAAAAAGTTTTTTTTAAGAGTTTTGTTTTATATATTCTCACTTTTTCTTTCAGGATTATTTAAAATAATTAATTAGAGGGCTTTGAACAGAATAGTGACATGATAATTACATTTTTAAAAGATGAGATGAGTTTAGCTGCTGCATTATGGAAAATAGTCTGTGTGTATTAGGAGGGGAGATGGTGGCAACAATGAAACAGGAGCAGTCTAGGTAGATGTTGGCTTCTTAAAATAGCGCGATAAATATGGCAGAAAACTGTCTGAAATTTTGTTGTTGTTAATCCTCACCCAAAAATATTTTCTCCATTCCTTTTTAGAGAGAATGGGAAGAAGGGTGGGCGGGGGCATTGATGTGAGAGAGACACATTGATTGGCTGCCTCATGTTTCCAAAATGGGGCAGGATCAAACCTGCAACCCAGGTACATGCCCTTGACCAGAAATCAAACCCATGACCCTGGGTGTGCAGGCCAATCCTCTAACCATTGAGAAACAGCCAGGGCTGGAATTGTATATTTTGAAGTTAGAACCAACAAGACTTGTTTGTTGGACATTCAAGGAAAAGAAGAGTCCTAAACAGTTGGATGTTGACTTTTACTGAGATTTGGATAACCAGAAGGAACAGGTTTTGGTGAGAAAACAGGAGTCTGATGTGAACATACTGAGTTTAAGATGTCTGTTTAGATGAGCTGTGCACTAGGCAGTTGTATGAGTCTGTAGTCCAAGGAAAGAATGCAGTTGAATATATAAATTTGGGTTCATCGTTGGATATGTGATGTTTAGATTCACAAGATTTGATAAGACCTGAAGACTGAGTCCTGGACATCCTGGACAAGGAGAATAACCTAGTAAAGGAGCTAGGAAGAAAGTGGACATTGAGTTAGGAGGGAACTGAGAAAGCTTCCGCCGAGAAATGTGTCAAGAGAGAGGACTCTGCTGTGTAAAATGCCTCTGGAAGGACAAGCAAAATTGACCGTTGGATTTGACTGTCTAGAAGTTTTTCACAAATGCGGTTTTGGTGAGAAGTAAAAACCTCACTGAGTGGTTCAAAAGAAAATGGGAGGAGAGGAAGTGAAGGTAGCATAGAGACAACTAAAGATGTTTTAGTGTAAAAAGCAGGGAAATAGGCACCTAACAGAAGAAAGACATGGTCTACGGAGGTAGTTTCTATTCTTTTTGAATATCACAGCATATATGTATATCAATGGGTTAATTTCTGGTGCAGGAGAGGAAGAATAGGGCCAGAGCAGCAAAGTTCCTAAGAAAGGAGAGAAGCTGAGGGTAGCATTGTACTCTAAGAAGAGGGCAGGGAGAGCAGTTGTCAGTGGATTTTTTGATAGGAGGTTGAGGAAATCCACTTTTATTGTTTTACATTTTTAATTAAATTATAAGTAAAGTTATCAGCTGAGGGAGAATGGAGTATTGGTGTTTAAGAATATGGAACAGCCTGGCTTGTGTTGCTCAGTGGTTGGATGTCGATGTATGAACCAGGAGGTCACGGTTCAATTCCCAGTCAGGATACATACCTTGCTGTGGGCTCGATCCCCAGGGGGGTTGTTCAGGAGGCAGCCAATCAATGATTCTCTCTCATCACTTTTTCTCTCCCTCTCTCTTCCTCTCTGAAATAAATAAAAATATATTATATTAAAAAACAAAGATGATGTGAATAGATACCTTGGTGAAGAGGGAGAAAGAATTAACCCAGACACATGTGGAAGGAAGTGTGTGGCTCACATACAAGGGCAGCACTGACTGACCCTCTGTAGTCATAAATTTAAAGTGAGACCAAGTTGATATGGTTGTGTGACTTTTCTCCAGCTTCATTTCCTTAGCACACTTCATTAAGTTAGACTACCTGGAGAAGGTACTATTCAGTTAACTCAGAATTTCAGCCTTTATCATTTCTTTCTAAAATATATCTACCTACTACTTTGATTTAGTCAAAAATATACTGAAAATATTTGTTTTAATTCTAAGGCATTTTCACTCTCACTGTAATTATAGTGATACAAAGATAGATTGTACATAGTTTATTTATTTATTTTTTTTATTTTTGTTAATCCTCACCTGAGGATACTTTTCCATTGCTTTTAGATAGAATGGAAGGGGGGAGGTGGGGAGAGAGAAAGAAACATTGATGTGAGGGAGACACATCGATTGGTTGCCTCCAATACAATCCCCGCCGAACAGGACCAGGGATTGAACCTATAACCCAAGGTACGTGCCCTTGACCAGGAATTGAACCGGAGACCCTTTGGTGTGCGGGCCAACACTCTACTAAGCAATACCAGCCAGGGCTGTATATAAATTCTTAAATGCTTACACTAAAATGTGATCTTGTTTTATTATCTCATGCCTCATCTTAATATGAAGTACTAAAATTTAGTTTATTTGGAGTTCTTCCTATTAATCAAGATTTTTACTCTAATAATAGCACATATCGATGTCATATTTCCAGAACATGGTTAAGGAATTTTTAGCACAAATTGTTGCTCAGAAACCGGTAAAGTTTGCTCATTTATGTAAGCAAGAATTTTATTATAAGGCACACTGCTTGACCCTACGGCCCCCACCAGCTGCTACCCTATTTCTCTGCTTGCTGTCCCCTCATGATGACCTTCATATTGCTGAGTCCCGTGGTCAGTTCTAGTTCTTCATCTCACCTGACCTGACTGGCGACAGCATTTGACAGAATTGATCACTCCTCCCTCCTTGAACTCTTTCTGACCTTACTTTCCAGGGCACCACATTATCTTGTTTTCCTACCTAACTGGGCCTCCTTTCCTAGGTCCTTCTCTCCTCCTCAGCCCCTTATTGTGTTCAGAATTCAATGATCTCCAGTCACGTAGCTTTAAATACCTTTCGTATGTAGGTACTTGCTTCTCCAGCCCTGACCTCTCTCTGGAATTTCAAACTTCTTTACCCAACTGCTTACTTGATATCCACTTGGCTATCTTGCTAGGCATTTCAAGCACAAAATGTCCAAAACTGAAATGATAATCTTCCACCACACACCTGCTCCACATAGTTTCCCTTCCTCAGCTGATGGCAAGTCCATTCTTCCGGGTGCTTGAGCTAAAAACCTTACAGTCACCCTTCACTCCTCTTCCTCTCATGTTTCACATTGATTCCATCAAGAAATCCTAAATCAGCCAAAACTGGTTTGGCTCAGTGGATAGAGCGTCGGCCTGCGGACTGAAAGGTCCCAGGTTCGATTCCGGTCAAGGGCATGTACCTGGGTTGCGGGCACATCCCCAGTAGGAGATGTGCAGGAGGCAGCTGGTCGATGTTTCTCTCTCATCGATGTTTCTGACTCTCTATCTCTCTCCCTTCCTCTCTGTAAAAAATCAATAAAATATATTTAAAAAAAAAAACCTCCCTTTAAAAAAAAAAAAAAGAAATCCTAAATCAGGTTGTATCACTCCTCTGCTCAAAACCTTCCACTGGCTCCCCATTTCACTGAGTAAAAGCCTTACTGCTGTATTCTCTTTCCTCCTTGCTCCCTCCACTCCAGCACCCCTGGTCTTGCTATCTTCTTTGATCATACAGGATGTTCTCTGAGCACTGGCTGTTCCATCTGTCTAGGCACCCCCTCCCCAGATCCACTCAGAGAATTCCCTGATGAATCCATTTCACATGACCCCCACCCCTGCCATACTCTCTCTCACACACTTCTCTTTCTCCTGACCTTTATTTTTATTTTTTGTTTTGTTTTGTTAATCCTCACCTGAAGATATTTTTTCCGTTGATTTTTAGAGAGGGGAGAGACAGAGAGAGAGAAACATTGAGGTGAGAGAGATACATTGATTGGTTGCGTCCTGCATTTGCTTCGAACAGGGCTGGGGGTTGAGTCTGCAACTGAGGTGCATACCCTTGCCTGGAATCAAACCCGTGACCCTTCAGTCTGTGGGCCGATGCTCTAGCCACTGAGCCAAATTGACTAGGATAATTTTTTTTTTTAATTGATTGACCCTTAAGGAGGGAGGGAGGGAGGGAGGGAGGGGGAGAGAGAGAGAGAGAGAGAGAGAGAGAGAGAGAGAGAAGAGGAGAGGAGAGAGAGATCAAGTGGTTGCCTCAGACCAGAACCTGCAACCCAGCTCTGTGCCCTTGACTGGGAATAGAACCTGAGACCTTTAAAGGCAAGTTTCTGTAGGCTGATGCTCTAATCACTGAGCAACACCAACCAGGGTTCCCCTGACCTTTAGCAATAATCATATTCTAACATTTTTGTTGGTCTCTCCCTCTTCCCCCCAGAGTGGACTACATAAGGACAGGGGTGTTCCCCCCTCCCCCATATGTCTCCAGCACAAAATACATGTCTCAAAACATTGCCTGGCACATAGTAATCACTCAAGAAATGAAATATATGGTTGCTATGAAGAATGGTCTCATTTATATCAAAAAAGCACCCTTTCTGTTGGCATGAGTGAGAACTCTAAATTTATTTTAAGTTCCCAGAATTAGAGGAAGGATTTGACCCACATAGTGCATTCTAAAGTCAAATACAGATAACTTGTGAGTTCTGTAAGTTGCTGTTCTTGATTTTCATGGAGAACCTAATTTTAGAATAGTGGTCTCCTGTATTTGTTTGCCCTTATTGAAAAGAAGCCATTCACTGATGTTATTGATATTTTATATTAGACAGTTATTTTCTAGTGCAGTATATTTTTCCAGATGAGATACTAGTTTTCTTTCTTGGTATTATGAATGTAACTTATATTTAAATATTAAGAAAATAACCCTGGCTGGTTTGGTTCAGTGGATAGAGCATCGGCCCATGGACTGAAGAGTCACGAGTTCAATTCCAGTCAAGGGCATGCACCTTGGTTGCAGGCTTGACCCCGGTCCCGGTTGAGCACGTGTGGAGGCAACCAGTCGATATGTCTCACGTTCATATTTCTGTCTCTCCCACTCTCTTTCACTCTCTCTAAAAATCAATGGAAAAATATCCTCGGGTGAGGATTAACAACAAAAAATAAATAAAAATAAAGAAGAAAATAGAAAAGGCAGACTTTACTGACTGCTGAATTCTGTGACAGGGAACTCATCTTCTCTCACATGTTTTTACCTAAGGAGCAACATCAGGCCCTTCTGTATCAGTTAATGCAACAGCATCACCACCAGCAACACCACCAACCTGAACTACAGCAGCTACAGATCTCTGGACCAACACAAATACCAATAAACAACCTACTTGCAGGTACTCAGGCACCACCACTTCACCCAGCTACCACCAACCCATTTCTCACCATCCATGGCGATAATGCAAGTCAGAAAGGAACAGTAAGTATCTTTGTATTATTATATCTAGTGAAATAAAAAATTTGTTGATTAATCAGAAGAATTTTATTGATTAGAGATTATTATCTCCCATCTCTCCCATTTTAAAAAAATACATTATTCCCCTGGTAATTTCTTCTTAAATTTAGTTGTTTTAGCAGCTTTGCATTGTAAATACAAAGGACCTAAGCCAGGGGTGGGCAAACTTTTTGACTCGAGGGCCACAATGGGTTTTTAAATTGGACTGGAGGGCCGGAACAAAAGCATGGATGGAGTGTTTGTGTGAACTAATATAAATTCAAAGTAAACATCATTACATAAAAGGGTACGGTCTTTTTTTTTTTTTTTTTTTAGTTTTATTCATTTCAAACGGTTGCCCACGGCTGACCTAAGCCAATTATATATCCCCTAAGTATATCAGTTTGAATATGCACATAAGGTTTGAAGGCTATCATACAATTCAGCAGTTTTCAAAATGAAAATACATTTTACTTATGGGGACAGTCCACTCAAATGACAATACTTGGTGCTTTGTGAGTATCTATAATTTGTTTAATTGTAGAACTAATCTAGATATTTTAGGAATATTTTTATTACTTTGTTCTGAAGTGCTTCCTAAAACTGACTTATAGTAAAATTAATATATAAATTTTAGGATAATCCAACTGTTCTACCAAAAAGAAAGTAAATTATCACATTTATTATGAATTTAAATTTTTATTTTATGTAAGTGATAGCAATTTACCCTGTCAGTGTATAAGTTAACATAAATTGAAAATGGGTGAAGGAACAGTATACTATACATATAGTAGCATACATTTTATGGCTGTTTCTTTCTATCAGTGCTCCCCTTTGCATAGGTTTACTTTATTAGAGTGTGACTGTTTTCCCTAAATTCCAGCTCAGGGCAGAACCTGGTAGAGGAAGGATATTGGGAAAGAGAGTGGAGACTGGATATTAGGAAAAGAAAAAAGGGAAAGAATGAGATGTGAGACTTGGCAAATAAAGGTGTTAAAAGTCACAATGTTGGCTATTTCCCATAACTTGGAAAGCTTGCTGTTTACTGTGCTTTTAGTCTTTAGAAACAAGAATTGGTTTAAAATGTAGATTATTGGTTTTCATTAACTCAACTCTCTAGTGCTTTTTGTTTGCCCCATTGTTTCTGGATTGTGAATACATACAGTCCTTACCACAAACTTAGTTACTTCTCCCGTGTTTTGCCAACATGGGAAATTTAAATGTTTCTATATTAATTTAGTAATTTTTTGTATTGTTTTTTCCTCTTGTGTTAAAAAGTGAATTACAAGCTAACTTTTCCTACAGTATGAATGTATTTTTTATATTATTTTTAATAGATTTCAAGAGGGAGAGGAAGAGAGAGATAGAAACATCAATAATGAGAGAAAATCATTGATCAGCTGCCTCCTGCACGTCCCACACTAGGGATCGAGCCCGCAACCCAGGCATGTGCCCTGACGGAGAATCCAACCGTGACCTCTTGGTTCATAGGTCGATGCTTAACCACTGGCCACACTGGCCAGGCATGAATGTATTTTTTAATGGAAAATCACAATAGTAAATAATATAAAATAAACAATATTAATTACCTAATGAAGAAAAGCAAGGCTGGAAAATAATATTTATAAGTTCCTGCTATATGTTAGACATCCTTTTTATTTTATGTTATTGATTTCAGTGAGGAAGGGAGAAGGAGAGATAGAAACATCAATGATGAGAGAGAATCATTGATTGGCTGTCTCCTGCACACCCCCTAACTGGAGATCGAGCCCGCAACCCCGGCATGCGCCCTTGACTGGAATCAAACCCGGGACCCTTCAGTCTATAGGCCGACACTTTATCCACTGAGCCAAACTGGCTAGGGCTAGACATCTTTTTTTTGTTGTTAATTGTCACCTGAGGATATTTTTTCCATTGCTTTTTAGAGTGAGTAGAAGGGAGAGAGGGATGGGGAAGAGAGGAGGAGAGAGAGAGAAATATTGATGTGAGAGAGACACATTGACTGGTTGCCTCCCACATGCGCCCCTCTAGGGTTCTGAGAGTGAACATGCAACCCAGGTACATGCCCTTGACTGGGAATTGAACCCATAACACTTCAGTGCGCTGGCCGACACTCTAAATACTGAGTCACACCGACCGGGCCAGATACAGTAATATGCAGGATTTCAGTCTTTAAAATAATAATGAGCTGTAATCCCATTTTTATTAATTTAATAAGAGTATACTCAAAGAAGTTAAAGATCAAAGGATAAAAGGCACATGTCACATCAGAACCCATGACTGTTAGTCCATAAAAATTTCATTTTCCATAATACCATGTTACTACTTCTGTGGAAAAGTCAATTTCAGGAGATGCTTTCTACATTCATTCCTTGTGAGTCTGTTCCTGAGATGGGCATTTCTGTCTTTGTTTACTGCTGAATTTCATGTTTATAAAACAACTGATAATGTTTACTAGTAAATGTATGTCTTTATATTATGCTAAAAAATAACCGTGTTGACTTATAGAAAAAAAAAGAATAACCGTATATACCACATTTTACCTCACTTATAATTTTACTTTAGAGGGTATTACCTCAAATGTGGGCCAAAAATTGATTTAGCTAATGCATCTGATTTTGTTTGTTTTAACTGCAGAGACTTAGTGATAAAACCGGGCCTGTTGCTCAAGAGAAAAGTTGACAGTTGAGAAATGGCTAAAAATTGCCTGTCCTGCTGTCCTAGCACTTCATTGGCTGCTGTTGCAGTCCTCTTACTACACCTATGAAGAAACGCAACAAGAAACTAACCGCACAACAAAGGACTAATTGCCACAAGGACATTCTTTTAAGGCTTTGATTAATTTTCTTGTTGCTTTGTTGCACTGAAATGGAATTCCCATGTCCCCCACCCCTCACTCAGATTTTTTGAACTTTGAAAGAAAATTTAATGACTAACTTTTGTCAGTGAAATAATTTACATGCAATGCGTTCATCAACCTAAGAGAAATTTAATATAGTTGGTACACAACTAATTTTGTTACAAATTGGAGAGATGAACAGCAAAACTAAAGACTTGCTTCATTTATAAACTATTTTATCTCGTATGAGTTGGAATGAAGCTTGTCTGGGTAACAAGTATATTTTGTTTGGATTACAGTGTGCTTGCTCTTTAAGTCAAAACTTAAAACAAATTTCAAGGAACTGTCCAATTTCTTCTGGAGTTTTATTGGTTATTGCAAATAAATAGGTCACCAACAGGGACTTGGCAGTCTTTGTTATAAAAATTTCCTTTCTAATGGGATTTGGCCAATTTTGGTAATCAAGTTAGGAGGATAATGTCTGTTTCTGCTAAAGGTAATTTTCTTTTGCTAAATGCTTTTTCTTTAGTGTTAAGACCAACTCATATTTCAACAAAGCTTTGAGTTAAGTGAGTTCTAAGGCTGCTGGGGGAACCAGATCAATTCAAAGTGAAAGATTTCTTTCAGAAAGAGGGGCCACTCTGGAAACTGATGGTAGGGTTTGGCCTGAATCAAGTGCCTGTTAGTATCTCCATGGTGTTGAAATGGCTCTAAACAGCTGAGCTTGCACTATACTATACTTACTCAGTCCTTGTGAGTAGCAGGGATAGTCAGTGTTGCACCAGCAGCCTTCCCCATGGTTCTGCCTTTATTAAAAACTTTCTATGCCACCATAGATAGCTCAGGCAAAACTATTACCTGGGTATTTATCCACTAATGAGTCACAAGGAAATGAGTGGATTTGGTAAGAATTTTTGTTTTTTTAATTTAAAAACTTCCCATTTCTGATAATTGATTTCAAACAAACAAAATAAGACAAGCAACCGACCACGACAGTTCCTGAAATAGGTGAAATCTGTATGACAGACCTTCTACTTTGGGTAGCCACACTCCTGGTGTGACAGGATGGCTGTGTATAAATTAAACAATTGGGAACGCAATCATTGAACTGTTCTTAAATGTGTGAGTTATTAGTGGAAAAGACCCAGCTGTAATTAGACCTCCACTGTGTACTTAGCTGGAAGAACATGTTAATTCTGCAATATGTCTCTTGGTTAAACATTGCACAGTTCTTACCTCATTTCTGTAAATAAGGTTTTGTGAATCTGTTTTGTATTGTGAAAAATTCATAAGATAACATTGATATTTTGATTTGTAATATTTCTAATTAGTAGATTTAATTGAAAAGTAAAATTAATTTATTTTTATATGTTCAGGGGAATTTTAAAGAAAGTCAAATCTTTTGTAGATAATTTAAAAAAATCGGTGTGGTTTATTTTACTTATTTAACCCACTGATTGTTATTCTGTAACAATTTGTATAAATGGCAAATTTTGAATGTGTTGTTATTTTACCTAGATGTAAAATTCCACATGTATTAAAGAAAATGTACAAAGTTTTTGTTAATAAAATTTAATAATGTTTATAACTCTGCCATTTTTCTAGTTTTATTGAGCTATAATTGACATATGGCACCGTGTAAGTTTAAGGTGTACAGCATAATAATTTGACTTACATATATTGAGGTGATTACCACAATAAGTTTAGTTATCATTATCTCATAAAGATACACACACACAAAATTTTTTTTTCTGTGATGGGAACTCCTAGGATTTACTCTCTTAATGACTTTTAAATATACCATAAAGCAGTGTTAACTATAGTCATCATGTACATTTTATCCCTTAGCATTTATTTATCTTACTAGAGGCCCAGTGCACAAAAATTTGTGCACTCGGGGGGGCGGGGGCGGGAAGTCCCTCAGCCCGGCCTGTGCCCTCTCGCAGTCTGGGACCCCTCAGAGGATGTCCACCTGCTGGCTAAGGCCCGCTCTCTGGGGGATCGGGCCCAAGCTTGCAGTCAGAAATCACTCTGGCAGCCCAGCAGCCCTCGGGGGATGTTTACTTGCCAGCGGGAAGCAGGCCTAAGTTGCAGTCGGACATCCTTAGCGCTGCTGAGGAGGCGGGAGAGGCTCCCACCACCACCGCTGTACTGGCAGCTGTCAGCCTGGCTTGTGGCTGAGCAGAGCTCCCCCTGTGGGAGTGCACTGACCACCAAGGGGCAGCTCCTGCACTGAGCATCTGCCCCCTGGTGGTCAGTGTGTGTCATAGTGACCAGTCATTCCCAGTCGCTCTGCTGTTAGGGTCAGTTTGCATATTACCCTTTTATTATATAGGATAGAGGCCTGGTGCATGGGTGGGGGCCGGCTGGTTTGCCCTGAAGGGTGTCCCGGATCAGGGTGGGGGTCCCGCTTGGGTGCCTGGCCAGCCTGGATGAGGGGCTGATGGTTGTTTGCAGCTGGTCACACCCCCTTCACAGTGGGGGTCCCCACTGGGGTGCCTGGCCAGCCTGGGTGAGGGGCTGATGGCTATTTTCAGGCTGGCTAAGCCCCCCAGCAGGGACCCTCACCCCATGAGGGTGTGGCCAGCCTGGGTGAGGGGCTGATGGCTGTTTGCAGGCTGGCCACGGCCCCCAGCCACCCAAGCTCCCAGTGGAGGCTGGCTGGAAGCAGGTATCTGGGATTTATTTAGCTTCTATTATTGAAACTTTGTTGCCACGAGCAGAGGCCACAGCCGGCTCAGGGCAGGCGGGAAGCTTGGCTTCCTCCATTGCCGGGGCAACCAAGCCTCCTGCTTGCTCCAGCTCCCTGGCTGCCTGCCGCCATCTTGGTTGGGTTAATTTGCATATAGTCGCTCTGATTGGCTGGTGGGCGTGGCTTGGGGCATAGCAAAGGTACAGTCGATTAGCATCTTTGTCTTTTATTAGTGTAGTTAACACAATTTCTTTATTCATCCATGGATGCATGCAGGTTGTTTCCATATCTTGGCTACTGTAATAATACTGCAATGAGCATGAGTGTGTGTGGGGGGGGGCACATATATCTTTTCCAGTTAGTGTTTTTGTTTTCTTCAGATAAATACCCAGAAGTTGAATTGCTGGGTCATATAGTAGTTCCATTTCTAATTTGTTGAGGTACCACCACACTATTTTCCATAGTGACTGCACCAATTTACATTCTCAGCAATAGTGCACAGGGTTCCCTTTTTCCACTACCTCGCCAACACTTGTTATTTCTGATATTGGTTAAAAGGTGTCAGGTGATATCTCATTGTGGCTTTTATTACATTTCCATGATGATTAATGATGTTGAGCATCTTTTCATATGGTACTATTGGCTATCTAAATGTCTTCTCTGGAAAATGTTTACTCAGGTTTTCTGCCCATTTTTTTAAAAACATGTTTTTATTGATTTTTAAAGAGAGGAAGGGAGAGGGATAGTGAGATAGAAATATCAATGAGAGAAAAGCATCATTGATCAGCTGCCTCCTGCAAGCCCCCTACTGGGGATCAAGCCTGCAACCCGGGCATGTGTCTGTTTTTATGCCAAATACCATACTGTTTCACTTACTATAGCCTTCTAATATAGTTTGAAATAGCGGGGTGTGATGCCTCCAGCCTTCTTCTTTCTCAAGATTGGTTTAGCTATTTGTGCTAAATTCTATTTCTATGCAAAATGATACTGGAATTTTGATAGGGATTGCACTGAATCTGTAGATTGCTTGGGGTAGATATGGACATTTTAACAATATTAATTCTTCCAAACCATAAGCATGAAATTTCTTTCCATTTATTTGTGCCTTTTTCCATTTGTTTTATAAATGTTTTGTAGTTTTCAATATGTTGTTTCACCTTCTTGATTAAATTTATTCCTAGTTATTTTATTTCTTGATGCATTTATAAATGGGATTGTCTTCTTAATTTTTCTTTTTGATGGTTTATTATTAGTGTAAAGAAACAGATTTTTGTACATTGATTTTGTATTTTGCAACTTTACTAAATTCTTACTGTTTTTTGATGGAGTGTTTAGAGTTTTCTATATATGTTTATCTTGTCATCTGAAAATAGTGACTGTTATGCTTTCTTTTCCATTTGTATGCCATTTCTGTTTCTTCCCTAATTGCTCCTACTAGGATTTCCAATACTATGTTGAATAAAAGTGGTGAGAGAGTGCGTTCTTGTGTTGTTCCTGATCTTAGAGGAAAAGCTTTTAGCTTTCCACAGTTGAGTATGATGCCAGGTATGTGCGTATCATATTATGCTGCCTTTCTTATGTTGAAGTATGTTTTCCCTATACCCATCCATTTGCAGCTTGTATCATACATGGATTTTGAATTTTTGTCAAATGCTTTTTCAGCATCTACTGAGATACGCCTGTAATTTTAACCGTTTTGGTAATGTGGAGTATCACATCGACTGATTTATGGATGCTGAACCATCTCTGCCTCACTAAAATAACTCCCACTTGATCATGTTGTATGATCCTTTTAATGTGTCCTTGAATTCAGTTTGTAAATATTTTGTTGAAAATTTTTGCATCTATGTTCATCAGGAATGTTGGGATTTTTTTGTGTGGTGTCCTCTGTGTGGTTTGGGGATCAGGTTAACGCTGCCCATGTAAAATGTTTTTGGAAGGGCTCCCCTTTTATTTTTTGAAGAGTTTGAGAAGGATTAGTATTCTTTTTTTTTTTTAATTCTTTTTTAAATTTAATTTTATTTTTTTATTTATTGCTTAAAGTATTACAAAGGGTATTACATATGTGTCCTTTTTTTTCCCCCCCGCCCTTGATAATCCCCTGGCCTCCCCTACCCCCCAGTGTCTTATGTCCATTGGTTATGCTTATATGCATGCATACAAGTCCTTCGGTTGATCTCTCACCCCACTCCCTCCTGCCCCCCAACCCTCCCCGGCCTTCCCGCTGCCGTTTGACAATCTGTTTGAGGCAGCTCTGCCTCTGTATCTATTATTGTACATAAGTTTATAAGGGTCTCTATTATCCATGAATGTGTGAGATCATGTGGTATTTTTCCTTCACTGACTGGCTTATTTCACTTAGCATAATGCTCTCCAGTTTCATCCATGCTGTTGCAAATGGTAAGAGTTCCTTCGTTTTTACAGCAGCATAGTATTCCATCGGGTAGATGTACCACACTTTTCTAATCCATTCATCTAATGATGGGCACTTAGGCTGTTTCCAGATCTTAGCTATGGTGAATTGTGCTGCTATGAACATATGGGTGCACATATCCTTTCTGATTGGTGTTTCTGGTTTCTTGGGATATATTCCTAGAAGTGGGATCACTGGGTCAAATGGGAGTTCCATTTTTAGTTTTTTGAGGAAACTCCATACTGTCTTCCATAGTGGCTGCACCAGTCTGCATTCCCTACAGCAGTGCACAAGTGTTCCTTTTTCTCCACATCCTCTCCAGCACTTGTCGTTTGTTGATGATAGCCAATCTGACAGGTGTGAGATGGTATCTCATTATTGTTTTGATTTGCATCTCTTGGATGATTAGTGACTTTGAGCATGTTTTCATATGTCTCTTGGCTTTCTGAATGTCCTCTATTGAAAGGTGTCTATTTAGATCCTTTGCCCATTTTTTGATTGGATTGTTTATCTTCTTTTTGTTAAGTTGTATGAGTTCCCTATAAATTTTGGAGATTAGGCCCTTATCAGATATGACGTTGGCAAATATGTTTTCCCACGCAGTGGGTTTTCTTGTTGTTTTGTTGATGGTTTCTTTTGCTGTGCAGAAGCTTTTTATTTTGATGTAGTCCCATTTGTTCATTTTCTCTTTAGTTTCAACTGCCCTAGGAGCTGTACCGGTGAAGAAATTTCTTTGGCATATGTCTGAGATTTTGTTGCCTTTGGATTCTTCTAGAATTTTTATGGTTTCCTGTCGTATATTTAAGTCCTTTATCCATTTTGAGTTTATTTTTGTTATGGTGTAAGTTGGTGGTCTAGTTTCATTTTCTTGCATATATCTGTCCAATTTTCCCAACACCATTTATTGAAGAGACTATCTTGGCTCCATTGTATGTTCTTGCCTCCTTTGTCAAATATTAATTGAGCATATTGGTTCGGGCTAATTTCTGGACTCTCTATTCTAGTCCATTGATCTATATGTCTGTTCTTGTGCCAGTACCAGGCAGTTTTGAGAACAGTGGCTTTGTAATACAGCTTGATATCTGGCATTGAGATCCCACCTACTTTGTTCTTTCTCAGGATCGCTGCAGCTATTCGGGGTCTTTTTTTCTTCCAGATGAATTTTTGGAGAGTTCGTTCTAGATCTTTGAAGTAGGCCATTGGTATTTTAATGGGAAGTGCGTTGAATTTATAGATTGCTTTGGGTAGTATGGACATTTTAATGATGTTGATTCTACCAATCCAAGAACATGGTATGTTCTTCCATTTCTTTATGTCTTCCTCTATCTCTTTTTTTAACGTCCTGTAGTTTTCTGAGTAGAGGTCTTTTACCTCTTTAGTTAAGTTTATTCCTAGGTAGCTTAATTTTTTTGCTGCGATGGTAAATGGGATTGTTTTTATAATCTCTCTTTCTGAAAGTTCACTATTGGTGTAT